GTCACACTACAGTCCCTTCCCTTCCATTTCTCACTTGTTTGGGAGTTTGACGCACACACATGGGCACCGGGGTGTTGCTCAAGCCGCCACTAGGTCTGGGACCCGAGTTGCACAGTTGGCCATGTGGGATCCAACCATCTTAACCACTTGCCTTGGACTGACCCAGGTTTATCATATTTAATCATTAATTTTAGAAAGATAAATTAGGTTGTAAAACATGAAACTATAAAGGAACATACATATACATATATATATATATTTGACTACAGGAATGAGGAGGAAACTGTATGTGTGTATACATATGTGTGTAAGTATAGTGGAAGAAGCTGTAGATAGATTTGCAAAAGATAAAGGAAAGGGTTCCCAGAAAAATAGCTTGCACTTTCCATCCACATCAAGTCTGAGCTTGAGAGGAGAGCGCTCGACGGGATGAACTCATTACTTGACTGTGACTTTGGAAGTGGAGACCGTGATCTGTGCCTTTCCCTCCCCACATCTTAAGGCCGCAGATTTATTTATTTATTTATTTATTTATTTATTATTATTTTTTAATCCTGTAGTCCTGTAGTCATACTGTAGTCCTTTCTCCATTTCCCATTTTGGGATTTGGGGCACAGATGCATATGTATCTTGGTTGTGTTTCAAGCCACCGGGCCCAAGACTTGACCTGTGGGGTCAACCATGTGGAATCTAGTTACCTTAACCACCATACCACAGACTGGCCCTAGGTTTCTGCAGACTGGTCACCTTTCAGGTAGAGGTCACCTTTCAGGTAGAGGTAACCTGCCACAGAAGCCGGTTTCTGGGATTTGCAAGACAGTGCCACTGGAAATGGTCAGTGACTCCTTTTTGTCAGATTTCCATAGAGGCTGCCGGTATGCTTGTTGACTCCCAGGACCTAGCAGTGAGCAAGCCACTGCTTCTTTAAGAGCCCATATGGTAGCTAGTAAGGTGTACACAAGCAAATAAAGTGGTAAGATGATTGCAAGTGGTCCTTAAGACTAAATAGCTTTGTGGGAGTGAGGTGGCTCTAGTTTACATAGGAAGTCTCTGAGGGAGTGACACTTGGAGAGTTAAAGGATAGGGAAGAACACTGTGAGTAGGAGGGAGGCAGGAGTTCCCATTTAGAGACAGCCACATGCGTAAAGGAGCTTGGCGTGCTGCTGGTTTTGTGCCCAAGATCTGATGAGATGGAGAATTTTTTTTTTTAATTGCCAAAGGGTATGTGTGCTTGCCAGAGAGAGAGAACAAGAGCAAGCAGGTGTTCCCCAGTGGGGCCTGGTCACGCCACAGTTCTCCCACCACCTCTCTATCCCATCAGGATCCTGGGTGTGCACACATGCCCAGCACGGTTTTCAAATCTCCGTGACCGAGATCTGCACTGTGGCTTCCTATGCACAGGGCTTAACGACTGTGCTATGGTGCTGGCCCAGGAGAATTGGAGGAAAGAGTATTGTGGAGTGACCAGGCCCTGTGGGGAGTTACTCTCATCCTTTCCCTGTCTGTCTATCATCTCTTTCTTTCATGCACGTGTCCTCTGGCATTAAAAATTAATAAAGTTAAAAAAAGAGTCTGGTGTGCCAGACGAACTAGAAGATGAGCAGCATAGCTGGAGAGCGATGCGTGAGGGGTCCAGAGACTTAACAGGAGCCTGGAGAGGTAGGCAGGGCTGCGTTGGGTCATGGAGCGATGTAATCATTACACCATCTGCTGGTCCCACCCAGTGAAATTTTTTTTTTTTGAGAGAGAGATTTTTGCTGTAGGGCACATGCACTTGACAGAGAGAGAGACAGACAGACAGAAAGTGAGAAATCACCTGCTGGGGGGATGGCCTCTGCACAACCCCTTTTCCTTCATGCTCCCCCTAGGATCTTAATGGGTATGCACGCACATGTGCCCAGCGTGAATTTGAAGCCACCAGGTCTGGGACTTGAATTGTGGTTGGCCATGTGGGAGTCCAGTTATGTAACTACTATGCCATCTGCAGGTCCCCTTGGTGAAATTTTTTTAAAATAATTTTTTATTTAACTTTATTTTATATTTTTTAAAAATTTGACCAGAGAGGGGGACCAGCAGTTAGTGTAATGGCTGTGTCTCTGGACTCTCACGTAGTCGACTGCAGTTTGAGTCCCAGACCCGGTGGCTTAAACTCACGCCAGGCACGTGTGCGTGCGTGCCCAGGATCCCGAGAGGAGAATGGAGGAGAAGGGATTGTGGTGTGGCCATCCCCCCTGGGGAAAAGGGGGTGATTTCTCACTTTCTGTCTGTCTCTCTCTGTCTGTCTGGCGAGCACACATGCCCTATAGCAAAAACCTCTCAAAAAAAAAAAAAATTGACCAGAGAGGGACAGAGAGAGAAAAAGTAAGAAAGCAAGCTGCCAGGTCCAGGACTCGAACCATGATCGACCATGTGGGAGTCCAGTGCCCTTAACCACCATGCCATTTGCTGCCCGCTCCCGCCCCCCATAAAATTTTTTTTTTTTCTTGAGAGATTTTCACTGTAGGGCGCGTGTGCTCGCCAGACAGACAGAGACATAGAGACAGAAAGCGAGAAATCACCCCCCAGGGGGGATGGTCATGCCGCAATCCCTTCTCCTCCATTCTCCTCTCGGGATCTTGGGCACGCACGCACACGTGCCCGGCGTGAGTTTTAAGCCACTGGGTCCGGGACACGAACCGCAGTCGACTACGTGGGAGTCCAGCAACATAGCCATTACGCTAACTGCTGGTTCCCAGCCCCATAAAATTTTTAAAGTATCATTATGAATTCATTTTTAAAACTGTAGAATGTAAGTGTATAGTGCCTTGGTGGCATTTCCGTACATTGACGAGGTGTGCAGCCATCACCACCATCCATCTCCAGAACTTTTCGACATCCCATACAGAAGCTTCTTACCTATTAAGAAATAACTCTCCAGGGGCCAGCAGGTGGCATGGTGGTTAGAGCACTGGATGCTCACATTGTCGACTGTGGGTCAAGTCCCGGCCGGACCTGGTGACTTGCTTTCTCACTTTCTCTCTCTGTCTCTTTGTCTCTCTCTGATGAGTGTTTGTGCACTATAGCAAACTTAAAATAATAAAGTTTGTAAAAGTCCAACTCTCATTCTCCCTTCCCCTGTCTCCTAGAAATCTCTATTCTTTTGTTTATGAATATGTCTATTTTAGGTACTTCATGTATATAGAATCATCTAATATTTTTCTAGTTATTTCCCTTAGAATCATGAGTGTAATGTCTTGAAGGTTGTGGGAGCATGCATCAGAATTTCCTTTTTTTTCCTAAGTTTTTTTTATTTTTATTTGTTGAGAGACAGTCATCCTCAACAGAGCCTCATGCCATCTCCCATCTCCCACTTCACCCCCCCAGTCTTTCAGCCAGCCAGGAGTTCAGGAATGTGGGTGTGCTTGGTGTGTGTATATTGTATGAGAACTGAATGCCAGTCTTCCCTATGGCTTCCCTCACTGGAAAGCATTGCATTACTACCGTGCCACTGTGGCTGGGCTTGTTCCTTTTTTAATGCTTAATAATAATTTGTCGCATGGATATACCACATTTGTTCATTTGTTTCATTAATGGATTTTTGGTTTGTTTCCATGTTTTGGCTGTTATCAATAATACTGCTGTGAATATGGTGGTGCAAGTGTCTGTTCAGATCCCTGCTTTCAGTTTTTTTGTGATCATCCAGAAGTAGAATTGCTGAATCGCATGGTAATTTTGTGTTTATTTTATTTTTAGGTTTTTACCATAGGGTGCATGTGCTCGCAGATCAGAGAGACAGAAAGGGAAAGTCGTCCATCCCCCTGGGGTGGATGCCATGTTGCAATCCCTTCCCCATTCTCTTCTTGGGATTTTGGGCACACACACACACATGTGCCTGGTGTGATTTTCAGGCTCCTGGTCTGTGACCTGAACCACCAGTGGCCATGTAGAAATCCAGTGACTTAACTAAGAATTTCATTTTCTTTGCATCCTTGGCCACATTTATTATTTTGTTTTTAAAAAATTGTACCAGATGATGTGTGCTCTCTTGGGGGGCGGGGGGGGGGGCGAGCAAGAAGGCGAGAAATTATCCCTTTGGGGATTGGCCACACTTCAGTTCCTTCTCCTTTTCTTCCCTCCTTCAGGATTTTGGGCGTGCATGTCAATGACGCTGCTGTGTTTTTCAGACTGCCAGGTCTAGGACTTAAGCTGCAGGGTTGGCCATGTGGAATCTAATTCCCTTAATCACCAGGCCCTGGAGCCAGCCCCTTGCTTATTTTTCAATGGAAGTATGTGTTTGTGTGTTTGTACCCCCTATAGTTTACTCCATCCCTATTTTATTTCCTCCCTTGCTTTTCATTTTGGCAGGCATAGTTCTTATATCCAAGAATTCTTTCCTTTTTTGGAGGGAGTGGGGGCATGCACATAAATACCTAGCATGTTTTTTTTCAAGCTACTGGGTCCAGGACTTGAACCATGTGGTCAGCCATGTGGGATCCAGCTGCCTTAACCACCATGCCACCAGCTGGCTCCAGAATTCTTTCTTGTTTTCTGCTTTCCTTTTAATGTTGCTTGCTTTTGTTTTAAGGATACACTGTCTTTTCAAATTTCTCAGAGGATACCTGTAAGGGTTTCTCTTGAAGTGTTTTTCTAGGAGCTAAGATACATGTTTCATCATCGTTGTCCTTTTTAGTCTTCTTGGTTTTCCTTCACTATTTGGTGATCCTGTCAGTGAAGAACTGAATTGTTTATATAGCTAATTGGCAGGAGGTTCTTCTGTTTTTCCAGCAGCCCTCTTTCCTTAGTAGGAGTTGGCTGATTCAGTAATCAGGAGTGGGAAGCACATATGAGATCGAGTTGATTAGCCCATTTCCCACTTCTGATTTCTGTACCTAATGATTCAAAGCTGGGCATGGATCCAGCGCCTCCAGGAAATAGGGCTCTGCTGCTCTGCCCTCCTTTGGCTCTGCATGTTCTAGGAAGTGGCCAGTCCGTTCTGGTCTGTCTGCCTTGGAATACAGTTTCCCCTGTTTTCTCCTCATCTTCTAGAAGGTGGCCAGCATTTCAATAGACTGGCTCTAATACCTTCTCATTTCTGTTGTGTTGTGATTCTCTTGTGAACAAACGTCTTTACTGTTTCGTCACGGATTCGGGGAGGATGGGGAGGTAAGTACATGCACTCATTTATCTAGCCTGTCTTCTTACAGCGAAGCTCCCTTACGCCATGCCGTTTCTGACCACAGGACCGTTTTCTCTGTTGGCGTGACGCTATTGGCAAAATGACTGAAATGGACTTTAAATTGTTCTCCACATTCACAAATCATAGCTATCAATTTTTAGTTAAATGAGGAAATTTAATTAATTCAGGGGTTAAATTTCACTTTGTGGCTACTTAATTCATTTAAGTAGAAGTTAGATATTATTGAAACTCACGATTCTTCCTGCTTTCGGACAGGTTGATTTCTATTTGGTTCAGGGATTTGGTGACTTAGCAAGACCTTTCTTGTTTGTCAGTAACTTTTTTCCAGACAAGCAGAGATAACTTGGCCTGTTTTTACCTTCTCTTGTTTTTGGGAAATGATAACAACAACATTTAGGCTTCATATGAGCCAGACCTTATTCTAAGCGCTTAATGTATAGAGCTCATTCAGCTTTGTAACAGTAGTTGCTGTTATTATCCTTGTTTTACAGACAGTGAAACTGAGGGAGAGAGAGGCTAAGGAACTTGCTCGAGGTCTCGTAGCTGGTAAGTGGCAGAACCAGGATCTTACCCGGTTAGGTAGGCCTCAGAGCCACTCTCCTGCTCATTTCAGTACTTCGCCTCTCTGTGCCACCCACTGGCCCCCGTACTTTGCCTCTCTAAAAGGAAGTGCTTTGGGATATTTTCTTAGGGTGACTGACTACCTTTCATATCTTTTCAAGTATGGATATAAGGAAACCATGTAATACAGAATCTTCATTTAGTTTCAAGCATATTCTTTATTGTTTGAAATAGAAATTGAGGAAGACTTCAAGTGCAGAAATTATGAAATCCATTGAGAACCATTGCAAATTATTGTGGTGTTGAGAAGATGTGACTTAACCTACAAAAATGCACTCTTCTGTTATGCGTTTGAGAATTTTAAGTAGCATTAAAACTTATGAATACATTATTTAAGTCCTGTAAGTCTTGGCTGCACTAGCTTCTGAGTTCTTTCACAATGTGTATTTATTTCCATGCAACATGAATAGTGGATTCATAAATGGTGAATGTTTTCCAGTGAAAATTCTTTTTAAGAAAATGTGGAAAAGAAATGTCCTTAAATGGACTGAGCGTATTTTAGCCCTTCAGGCAGATAAATATGGGGGAAAGCATTTGAGAAACATTCAGACAGCACTGGGAAAAAATTTATTTAAAAAAATGTGATGTATCCAGGTGCTTGTGTGGGCATTTTTTTTCTTTGATGGAAGAGAGAGATTGGGTACGGGTCCTCCCAGCAAGATCCTGCCACCATGGGAACCAGCAGTTAGCGTAATGGCTATGTCGCTGGACTCCCACGTAGTTGACCGTGGTTCGTGTCCCGGACCCGGTGGCTTAAAACTCACGCCGGGCGCGTGTGCGTGCATGCCCAAGATCCCGAGAGGAGAATGGAGGAGAAGGGATTGCGGCGTGACCATCCCCCCTGGGGGGTGATTTCTCACATTCTGTCTCTATGTCTCTCTCTGTCTGTCTGGCGAGCGCACGTGCCCTACAGTGAAAATCTCTCAAAAAAAAAAAAAAAAAAAAAAGATCCTGCCACCATGATCCCCCACAGTCTCTGTCTATCAGGATCTTGGGCATGCATGTGGACTCCTGGGAGTCACAGGGAGACCCTGAAACGTAATCCCAGCTCCTCCTCATGTGGCCTCAGCACCATGGAGTCACACTACCACTGGGCCACCGTAGGGTCACCACGGCTGGCCTGTGGGTCCATTTTAAATGTTTTATTTTAGAAATGTTCAGTTGTGTTTGACATTAGAGCAAATGATACAGTAAATTTCATATCCCTACGCTCTAGCTGCCAACAGTATTTTGTCAGGGCTCACATGACTATTGCCATGAAGGTAACTCCTTAAATAGGTGTTGCCACTTTCTCTGCATATTATTTCTTGGTAAAATCCTGTTTGAAAAATCATAGAATAGTAATTTATTTCCATAAAATTTCCTTGAGTTCAACACTATCTAGTTTTGACTACAGCAATGATCAACACAAGAACACCAGATCTGTTAAGAATAAGTAAAAACCAGTTTATCGAGGCCAGCAGGTGGAATGGTGGTTAAAGGCTCTGGACTCAAACATGGCCAACTGCAGTTCGAGTTCCGGACCTGGTGGCTTGCTTTCTCATTTCTCTCTCTCTCTCTTTCTTTCTCATGAACTGCATGCCCTATAGCAAGTTAAATAAATAATTATTAATAAATGAATCTTTAAAAAGTCCAGTTTATATATTGTTGTTATTCATGATAGTTTGCTAGAATGCTAGGCATGTATGTATGCATGTGATATGTTTCAGGCTCTAGCTCTATAGTTTGGTATGATATTGACTGTAAGAGACTGGGCCAGTTTTCATCTTTCTAAGGAGCTTTTTCTCTGTCTGCAGAGGAACCTTGGGCTTGGACGGTGGCACTTAAGGGGTCTTCTTAGCAGTTACTACACAAACAGCTTTTTTTTTTAGAGATTTTGTTATAGGGTATGGGTGCTTGTTGGAGAGACAGAGAGAGAGATGGAGAGACAGAAAGCGAGAAACCACCCACTCAGGGGGAATAGCCACACCACAATATCTTCTCATCCCTTCTCTCCATTCTCCTCTAAGGGAATGCCTGGCATGAATTTTCAGCTGCTGAATCTGGGACTTGAACTGCGGTCGACTACATGGGAACCCAGTGACTTAATCATCATGCCATCTGCCTGTTACACAACTTTTTATTAAATTGTCTAACTGGGACCAGAAGGTGGTGTTGTAGTTGGGGTGCTGGACTCCCATGTGGCCGACTGCAGTTTGAGTCCTGGACCTGGTGGCTTGCTTTCTCATTTTCCCTCTCTCTCTTGCTCTTCTTTCTTACTCTGCCCTCTCTATTTTTAATTTAACCAAATTAAAAATAAGTAAAGTTAAACAAAATGATTCTTAAAAAAATGTATATTCTTTGCTTTTTACAGAGATTGCTTTGTGGGATTTGGAATCAGCATTTTAATGGTATTCCAGGAAGACAAGGATCAGCAGATGGCATAATGGTTATGTCACTGGACTCCCATGTAGTTGACTGTGGTTCAAGTCCTGGACCCGGTGGCCTAAACCTCAACCGGGCATGTGTGCTGCGTGCCTAAGATCCTGAGAAGAGAATGGAGAAGAAGAGATTGCAGTGTGGTCGACTCCCCTGGAGGATGATTTCTTGCTCTGTGTCTCTCTCTGTCCCTCCGGTGAGCACACGTGCACTATAGCAAAAATCTCTCTAAAAGTAAATAGTATTCCAGGAAGAGAGAGATCCTGATTCTAATATCAGGAAAGAGAGTCCTTATGCCATTGTTGATTTCACTGACTTTTTTTTTTTCATCCATGTTTTATAAGGTTGTTAATACGACATTTTGCAAAAAAGTTGGCAAAGAAGTTTCTTTTCTTTTCTTTCTTTCTTTCTTTTCTTTCCTTTTTTTTTTTTTTGAGAGGTTTTCACTATAGGGTAGGGCACGTGCACTTGCCAGAAAAAGATAGAAAATGAGAAATCACCTCCCTGGGGAAATGGCCACGCTGCAATCCCTTCTCTATTCTCCTCTCTGGATCTTGGGGTCATGCACGCACGCACAAGCGCCCTGTGTGAGTTTAAGCCACTGGGTCCAGGACTCGAAATGCAGTCGACTGCATGGGAGTCCAGTGATGTAACCATTACGCTATCTGCTGGTACCGAAGTTTCTTTTTTTTAAGGTTTTTGCCATAGAGTGTGTCTAGTTGCTGGAAAGCAACAAAGAGGGAAAGTGAGAAATCACCCTCCCCGGGGGGGATAGCCACACCACAATCTCTTAACATTATCCCAGGATTTAGGACATCCACGCACATGTATCCAGCGTTATTTTCAATCTGCCAGGTCCAGAACTTGAATCGTGTTTGACCATGTGCAAATCCAGCACCTTAACTACCATTCCACCTGCTGGCCTCAAGAAGTTTCCTTTTTTTAGGTTTTTCCATAGGGTGCATGTGTTTGCCAGAAAGAGACAGAGAGGGAAAGTGAGAAATCATCTCCTTAGGATAACCATACCATAATCCCTTCTCCTCCATTCTCCTCTCAGGATTTCGGGCATGTGTGCACGTGTGCTCAGCATAATTTTCAGGCCACCAGCTCTGAGGCTTGAACTGCAGTCTGCCATGTGGGAATCTGGTGCTTTAATCACCATGTCACCTTCTGGCCTCCCAAATTTCCATTCTTAATTCCATACTCAGTGAGTGGTATTACCACCCTCTACATACTGTTACGAATTACAGACAGATTTGCCAAATACAGGTTATCTTAGTTCAGGCCGTTAAAACAATATACCACAGGGTGGGTGGCTTATAAACAATGAAAGTTTATTTCTCACAGTTCTGGAGAATGGAGTCCAAGATCAGGATGCCAGCACAATCAGGTTCTGGTGAAGGCCCTCTTCCTGGTTGCAGACTGCCAATTTCTTTTATCATCACATCACATAAAGTGAGCTAGCTAGGTTTCTGGTCTCTTCTTAAAAGGGCATTAATCCCTTTATTGAAATCTCCACCTTCATCATTAAATTTTCTCCCAAAGGCCCCATCTCCAGATGCTACCACGTGGGGAACTGGATTTCAAAGTATATTTTATGTCATCAGAGAGACAGACAGGAATCCCATATGGGATCTTCATGCTGCGATCCTCCCCCAAGTCCTGCAGCCAGCCAGGATCATGGGTACACTTGAGGATGTACCTGCAGGCATGCTCGGCATATTCAGGTTCTAGGATGTGAACCTGGAGCCTTCCCATATGGCCTCCAACATTGCACAGCAGAACCCTTAATGCCTATACCACTATGGCTGTGTCACCTGTGTGGGTTTCTCTGTAGTTCCACTAAATGTTATAACCTGAGCCTTGGGCCCCACTTGCTTGGTTGCCTGCTGCATGGATGTAGATGCAGGAAGTGGGACTCCATTTTCAAGAAGGCATCTGGTGCCTCTGGTTTCACATAGGCTTCTTCTGGGGGAAAGGGAAGCATGAAGAGAGTGGAGGACAGTTGATTTTCCATCTTGAACTCCAGTTCCAAATTGAATGGAAACTTTGGTGTTTTGGATGCATGTTTGACTACAGAGTATTTCATCAATTTCTCAAAGGAATCAGTGACCCTTCCTTCCCCCTCCTCCACTCTATTCTGCACACATACACACAACAAAACCATGTCCTAGAGCAGCCTCTGGAGAACAGTTGTGATGACTTGGCATTACAAAACCTTTAGAGACCAGAAGTTGGTATAATGGCTACGTCACTGGACTCCCCTGTAGTCAACTGTGGTTCGAGTCCTGGACCTGATGACTTAAACTCACGCCAGGTACGTGTGCGTGTGTGCCCAAGATCCCGAGAGGAGAACGGAGGAGAAGGGATTGTGGCGTGGTCATTGCCCATGGGAGTGGGGGGATGATTTATTGCTTTCTATCTCTCTGTCTCCCTCTGTCTTTCTGGCAAGTACACACACCCTATAGCAAAAACATCTCCAAAAAAAAAGAAGAAGAAGAAAGTAA